AAAAAGGAACGTTAACTAAAAAAAAAAAAAAAAAAAATGCATATATAAATGGTTTAATTTCCACCTTTTTCCCAATTACAGTACTTAATCTGCAAGTTCAACGGATTGCTGTGTAGCGTTCCGTCTTCGGCTCACCGGTTTCTCGCACGCCCCGGAGGCTCATGGGTTGCCGCAGCTAATTTGGTACCGTAGGTTGATGATTGGTTGAGGCCAACCGTATCATCCTGGCCTTGACTAATCATATCATTCCGGCCTCGGCCAAAGCGTTGTCGGCGTAGAAATTCCTCTCGGCATGATCGGTGACCTTATATGGGAACTCTAGCTGTTATGTGCATTGGTAGGCACTATGGGCGTCGTTTGAGGATGACGGTGTGCTTCCTCCCCCATATGTGGCGAAACTGGAGGATAATGCTGTTGGTGCACAAGCCATTTCTAAGGCACCATTGGTAATTACTCCGTGCAGTATCTCATTTTCTAACACATGTACTATGTCTGTGCCGGCTCAGGGTCGAAAACAGGATACGCGTGCAGGCAAGGCTGATAGGCATTCCACACCGTCCAGAACATGAGAAACGGCGCGTGTGGAAGCAAAGCGGGACGAACCATGCCGCATGAGTTGGGCCGATAGGCTAGCAGCGTGCTGTGACGGCGAGGCGGGTGACGGTGAGGCATTTGGCGGCGTCCTTCGCGCCCTTCGCTTGCGACAGCGGGCGACGCAGCCGTATAACAGGGGGGATGGGCTACGGGTAGGTTGGGCACCTGAACAAGGGGGACAACAGGGGATTGTGCTGAGGACAGCAGGGCCGACTGAAACGTGTGTGTTCGTGCTTGGCTGGACTGATGCCTGTAGTCTCCGATCGATTGGTGGTTTGCACACTAGTAGTGCAGACTTTGTGTAGTAGTGCTAGTAGCTACAAAAGACTGTACACTAATCAAACGGTACCATTTGTAAAAATAAGTTTATCAAGTCGGGATTTCAAAGTTGCGATATTAACGTATCAACTTTGGATACTGCCCGATTCAGATATTAGACACCCTTTGATAGTGAAAAACCAGAGCCAAGAAAGATCATTCACGAGCTGGGCTACAGGAGGGTGTCAACCCCAACCGCTGACTTGTTTCAGCCTGGTCAGCCCGCTCTAGTAGCGTCACTCAACCATGCCCTTATGTTACCCCCTGTTTAGGCTACCGAATCTGTCAGTCCTGCCTCTTCATCAGGTCTAAACCGTCTCCCTGCCATCCGGCAACATCGCCCGCCACCGCAAGTGAAGGGCGCGAAGGACGCCGCCAAATGCCTCACCGTCACCCGCCTCGCCGTCACAGCACGCTGCCAGCCTATCGGCCCAACTCATGCGGCATGGTTTGTCCCGCTTTGCATTATCGGCCTTGTCATTCTTACCAATAGTACATGCGTCGCTTGTGGCGCGAAAATTCAGTTGATGGAGCTCGGTCGTCTGTTGGGGGGTTGGGGAATTGCGGTTTCAAGACTAGGGTGGTGTGCACGTGCATGTCCCTTGCCTTGGCCTGCGCCGAGCGGCACCACATGCGAACTCGGCTGTTTCGGGATAGAGCACTGATCTGAAGATCACTAGCCCCTAGAGCATGCAGCAAAGACCACTTTATTATTATTGTTCCATTAGAGTCTAGTGAGCTCGAGGCTATGTAAGACTTTGGCCGAGGCCGTTCTAACTAGATTTATTTACAAATACGAGTTTGTGCTTGAAGTGTGTCTGTGGTGCTTCGGCCTTTGTCTAGGTAAGCGATAGCTATCGCTTACTAGACGCCTAGTGCTAAAGAGCATTTTGATAACAGAAAGAGATGTTAGAAAGCAAAGCAATCCTCCAGCAGGCTCTTTTAGGGATAAAAAGAAAAAGTTTCAACTTAGGTAGTTTTAATGAGTAACTCTCTCGTTCATTTTTAATGAGTCTTCATCTCAAGTTTTAGTGAGTAACTCTCTCGTTTCGACTTAGTGCCCAGCGAGTAGCAGCTGTCTTGGCGTTTTCGACTTGGTGCTTCTACAGAGGTAACCAGTCTCTGTATCAGCGTTTGGATTTGGTGCCACAGTAGGCGAAGACTGTCTCGGCGTTTCGACTTATTTTGCTATTACAGACCAGAAAACTGTT